TACATTGTGCAGCCAGCCAGGGCCGGGCCGGGCCGCCTCGCTCCGGTTTGACTCACATGGTGAGCTGGCTCGAAGCCCACGCAGGGTCAGGGCGTGCATCTGCCAGCCGCTGTGCAGCAACCAAGCCCTGACCCATGCCAGCGGGGGGAGCGAGACCCTGTCTGAACCCAGGAGCGCTGACCACTAGGCCTCACTCCCTCATAGCTAGGAGCTGGGATCAGCACTCCTGGCTTCTCTTCCTGCTGGGCAGGGGAGTGATGTCTAGTGGACAGAACTGGGGGGGAAGGGGCAGGGCTGGGAGCAGGAGTTCTAGGCCCTAAGTGGCTCATCCAGTGACTTGCTCCGGGAGCCTGCCCCCCGTGACTCGGTTTCCCCTGCTGCGGCGGGGCCGGTGTCCCAGAGCTCAGCTGGCTGGAGTAGCAGGAAGCAGGGCGACCCCCGCCAGCAGCCCAGCCCTGCCCTGCCCACGCTGCCGCCCCGCCCTGTGCTGGGGGAGAACAGAGGGATCCCCTGGAAGTCAGTACGTGACCCAGGAGTCCTGGCTCTTAGTGCCAGTCCTGTTCTAACCACTAGGCACCATTCCCATCCCGGGTGGGCTCTGGGGCAGGGAAGGGGATTTCCTGTTAGCTTGGTGGCACCGTGTGAGATCCCCGTCCCTGCGTGCCTGGCCCAGGGGGTGGGGTCTCTGGGGGAGAACTCCTGCGGGGAGGCACGTAGGGAATGGCCCAGCCAGCCAGCCCCTGACCCTGGGGGAAGATGCAACCAGAGACAGAGATAACACCTGGGCCAGGATAAGGGAGGGGGCGGGGCTGCCTGGAGCTGGGGCCAGTTGCAGGGTGTGTGAGTTCCCCGGCTGGCTCAGGGAGAAGGGAGCCGAGCTGGCCTGAGGGGCCGGGCCCCCTTACCCCCCAGCTGGGCTGTACTCTGCGTGTGCTGCGTCCCTGGGCGCCCCCCTTCTGCCTGCTGGCCGAGAGCCACGGCTGGCTGCGGACGGGGGTGCAGGGCCCGGGGACTCCTGTGACACCCCAGCCAGTGGCTAACTCCCAGCACTTCTGTCCCAAACCCACAGATGCCAAGGGGCCCGATCCTGGGAGCTGCCTGGCCATGGGCTGTGAACTGGCATCAGAGGGGCATGGGGCCCGCGTGGCCCCGCACACCCAAGAGCTGGTGAGCACCTCCTCCCTCTGTGGCTGAGGGCCGGCTCCGCCCCAGAGCAGGCTGCCCCTGGGGGTGGTAAGGGAACCCTGGGTGTTGCTGAGCTGCTGGCATTTTGCGGATGGGCACCTGGATGGCGCGGTGCAGCCCCCAGAGCACCCCTCTCGGCTGGAGCCCTGTGGCCAGGGGCAGCCGCGAATCCTCCTGCCCACTGCCTGCTCACCCTGGCAGCCATCTCCTCAGGACCTCATGTCCTAGGCCAGGCAACGGGTGACCCAGAGATCTCTGCAGCCCCTTTCCTCCCCCTCCATCGCCCCCCTGGGAGGAGGGCCCTGCCCTCCCCAGCTCACTGATGAATGCACTAGCAGCCCCAGATCTCCGGCCACTCCGAGCACCGTGTTCCTGAGGGCCAGACCCCCCCCAAGCCGCAGCGCAGGACCTGACCCTGCCAGGCTGGCTCTCTGGATGTGGGGGGCCTTGTGGGAGAAGGGGACAGGGGAAGCCCTCAAGGCCTTGGCCACCGCCCCGTACCAGGCGGGGGAGGAGAGCTGCTGGCTCCCAGGCCCACGCTCTGACTGTCCCGAGCCCAAGCCGGCTGACTCCCAAGAGATGGACGCTGGGGCCAGATTCCTTTTATTCCCATGGCTGGGCCGCAGTGACACGGGTGCCAGCGCCCACAGCACCAGTCTGTGTCCAGGGCCTGCTGGGTCGGTCCAGCAGAGACGGGAGCAGGTGGCCGGGTATGGGAGCCCCAGTGCACAGACGGGCACAGGTCTGGGGCCCCGTCCAGGGCAGCGCTACAGGTATTTGTAAACGACCTTCTCGGGCTGGGGCTGCACTTCCAGCCGCACGGGGCACCTCGGTGTAGCCCACCAGGAAGTAGAACTTGTAGGGCGGCAGGCGCTGCAGGAAGACGGCGCAGATGATCAGCACGTTGGCCCGGCGCTTCAGCACGATCTCGTTGGCCAGGCAGCCGTGGAAGGTGCCGTAGATGAATTTGCGGATGAAAACGTCTTCCACGGTGCGCTCGGCAGCCCCGGCCTCAGCATCCAGGTTACCTGCAGGGCAGACAGGGCCGGGGGCTGAGGGCACGGCACCTGGCACCCAGCCTGGGAAG